GGCCTGAGAGTGAGTATATTTCCAGCAAACTATTCCTTTAACACCCATCATCATGCACTGCTTCTGCGTCCTCCAGACTGTCATAGGTGCTTCACAAAAGTGTCACCCTTCTCCTGACAGCATTCTCACCGGCCAATGAGGAGCGATCGTTCCCTGGCACACGCTTCAAACCCTCCACCTCCCTCAAATAACCTGCCACCGACACACTGACAGATGCTTCTGCTTTACTGGCGGGCGGTCACTGCGTAGCTGCTGTGAACTTCAAGGTTAACTTTGCTGAAGACTAGGAAACGCTCTGGCAGCTGCATTGGATTTAACTGGTTTCTAAGCAGGTGCAGTAGACCTAGAGGTTGTGGACATTCACACAAGTCAAAGGTAAAGCACCTTGTTGTCTAATGACTTGTAATGCTTTCGTTTAACACATGCAAGGCACTCACTTTTTATCATGCTTAACTTTGGAATAAAATTGCATCCATCTCTGTATGTATGTTTGTCCAGACAGACTCGGTTTCTATTTCAGTTTGGCATGTCAGTAAATCACGTACATAATAAAGATGCATTGACTCTTATAGAATAGTTTACTGATCATTCTGCTCTTGCAAAAGTGCTTGTAATGACTAATATTTTTTTATAGTGCTCATGTAAAGTGAGCTGTGCTATAATTAGCAGTGACGGGGGGCTGGAGTGTGTTTGCACAGGATTAAAGCACACAACAGCTGTCTGCTGGAAGGGCATCGCTGCTTCTGGTAATTGCTCTGATTTGAGTGTCAGTAGCATCTGCAGGCGTATCTCGTTTCTGGATTCAATAACAACAGCGGGCCAATGGAGAAAGCCTTTCTCAGATTTTGCTAGGAAGATTAAAATGTGTCGATATTAGGCTCTAAATATTAAAGGAATTCAAAAACCTCTAAATTATCTAAACCAAATGCTTAAAATGTGCACTGAAAAAGCTGTAGGATTTCAATTAAAAATTGCTAGTAAATTTCACAAATAATTACAAAGAAACACAGTGAATTAAATTTGAATTTTTTTTTAAGTAGAAAGACTGAAATAATATTTTCTTGTAAACTGTACCAGTGTTATTTTAGTATCATTGATAAACTATTAAAGTTTTTATTAACATTTTTAATCCGTTTTCAATTTTAGTTAAAAGTTTTAGTGATTTTGCTGTGTATTTCTGTCATTTTTAGTAGTTTTTTAATATGTCTATATAGTTTTATTAACTTTTATTTCAGTTTTAGTTATTTTAGTACATGAAGTTAAACTAAATAAAAATTGGCAACTTGCTGTAATACGTTTTT